AAAAATAAGACATTAAAGTTATTTTAAGACTACAGATTTTTTTTTTTAACTCTCTGTGGGTGGTGAGCCTTTCAGGGAAAATATTCCCTCTCCTCCAATGTCCCTCATCTGGTTGACATCACCCCGTCTCTCCCTCTCCCTCCGCCACCTCACTTTGTTTCTGGCCATCTTAGTGCAGTCTCCCATGGAATGGCCGCAAAGACTAATCTGCTACAAGGCATGAACCAAGCACAAGTATCGCTCTGTTCCATGACTTTCTTTTGTAGCCTCCCTCCAGCCCAGTTGAACATACAAGTAGATGACGTTTAGAGGAATTGTTACACTATTTAAATCAGCTCTTCTGTCTGACTCAGGCATGATGGAGGGTAACAATGAAGAGACGTGAAAGACCAGCTACATCTTATGTAGACCACTACATCGTCTGCTCAGGCTGTGGCTTTCCTATTTTGTTCCACATTCCTGGAATTCTCACAATGGGATTCAAAGCTCACCTAGAAGCTGCTCTTAGAAAACAAAGGACAGAGGCCCCTTTAGAGTTGTTGCTGCCACTTCTCTGGTGTGAAAGATCTACAAACTTTGTGGCTGTGAAGTTGGACTTTATGAACACACAGCAAGAAAGTATATTTTATGACTATATTGCAACTGGACATTAGCCACCTTACATGCATTTGACATGGAATATGAATTTTCCCTCAATTCAGCTGATGAGATGGTAAGAACAAAGGCATACCATTGTCAGAAAATAGATTTATCCTTCACCCCCAATTGTAATTCCCTTTCTAGAGATCCACAGAAAAAATGGGATACAATCAGACATTTTGTAAGATGTTGTCCAGATTCTGAAATGCATTAAAATCAAGCTGAACATAACTTGTTCCACTTGGTCCTGAAAATAACATTCTGTAACTTCTAGACATCAAACTGAGTCTGGTTTTGATGTGACCACTGATTATTTAGGTAACACTCAGCAAGGTACTGAATCTTACAGAGCCTCAGTTTTTCCATTTCTCATTTGAGGAGAATGACACCTGTGCGTTCTTATTTACTGATTGATGAGATCAATGAAATATCATAAGATACTGAAAAAAATAGTGATATATATATATATTTTGGGTCAGTCACCTTTACCTTTATGGCAGCATGACCAACGATTGGCAAAATAGTCAAAGTGTACTTCACCCCTCCTGGGTAGAAGGCAACAGGGAAAGGGCATTTTCCATCATTTGGCTCTGAGGGCCTAGCTCTACCCATGTTCTTCTCCAGGCAAGCCCTTTTCTCCCATATTCAAAGGGAAACATTTTAATATTTAGCCTTTAAATTAAATCTGGCATTCTCAAATTTGGTTTAATCAATGTCTAAAATTTACTGAGCTTTCAGCTGAGCCACTAAGGATCTCTTTCAGAGTCAAGCTTCCCTGGAACACTCTTTAACCACAAAATTTTGTACAATGGTGTCTAGTGAGCTCAAGTGATTTTCTCGCTGATCAACAGTTTAACAATTACTAGTCTGTAAGGTATTTATACTAGAGAATGTCACTCTGGTGTGTGAGGCTCAGCTCTCAAAGACTTAACTAAGCATAAAATGTGCTTTACAAATAAATGCTTACAAAAGTTAACAAAGAAATGGATGACTTATATTCATCCTGTCTTATATCAGCCTTGGAATCCAAAGTTCCATACTTAATGGAAATGAGAAAAGCTTAGCAAGGGTTCAGAGCAAAGGCCAAAGAACCTTTCTTCCTTGTTTGCCCAAAATATTACGAGATAATTTGATAATAGTTCATCAGTAAGATGATGTGTTAATAAATCTTCCTTATCTGTAACTCAGATTAAACATTTTAAAAGGGGGCTTAAGAAGTATGAGGAATTGAGTTTAGTTATACAATTCTTACGTACTCCAGGAGATGTTAAATCCTCACTTGAAATATTCTGATGCCCCACTCTAAGTTTTGTGAAATACATTTGATCCCCATTTGTCTGTGACAATTCAGTTAACATGCTACTAGAAGGCAGGACAGGTGAACCAGAAGAGTTCTAGGCTTTGCTTTTCCATAAAAGTTAAAAACAAACTGTAAAGCTTATCTTGAAATAGTCTTTCACAAAAAGTATATGTATGATACAATGACTGAGACATCCCACATGCCAAGTTGACTACTGTCATAGGGAACAATCTCATGTGAACAGTTTGATCCCATTATTGATTAGTCTGTATCAATGCTTGACAGAGGTCAAGGAAGCAAATGTAACACCTATAAAACAAATGAGTGATTTCCTTGTTTGCTTTTGAAAATGCCACTTACTGCTTTTTTTCTTTACAGTAGTTAGCTGTACACGGTCATATTATAATTGTCATATAACAACCTTAATTCAGAGGCACATCTTTTGAAACAATGTATTATTCAGCAACTTTGGGTAAACATGCAATTTAGGAGTGGAAAAGATGCACACAGAGACAAGTAATCACAGATACAAAGCATGGTGAATTTCTGTGCCATGCACTTCACACCCCAACTCATCTCGCAGGGAAACTAGAGAAGGGGCAGAACCATTTCTATTATGATAATTCACAAAGAGAGGCCATATAGATATGCATGCAAAGTTTCTCCCCACCTCTCCATTTACATGCCAGGATTTCAACTCTGCGACACTGAGTCCCTTCATTTAGCCAATTAGTCCTTCCAGCTTCATGTAATGCACGCCAAAAAGAAGGAGAAATAGAAGTGCTGACGTTCACTGCTTTGAAAGTTGCTATTCTAATGCCAAAGCTGCCTCTTGAGTAATTTCCAGAATGTATTAACATGGGAGCAAAGCGCTGTTCCTAAAGACAGGGATCACATTATGCAGGGGAGCCCCGTTCAACATGTCACAATTGCACAGAGCCCCCATCCCCTGAACGATCTTACAGTTGTAGTTAGCATGGGCTCAAGTTTATGGTCTTTGCTTAGGTCAAATTTAGGAGGTCTTCCTAAAGAAAAGAAGCCAATTAAAAAATATCTAGTAAGCAAGGCATGGCACATCTTCTGGACTATGGCATTGACCAACTCCTTTTACTGTCATTCTGAGTAAAGCTGGTCAAGATGCAAAGCAAACCAACCTTTCATTTTAGGACAGAGTAAAGGATTCTTCAGTTTCTGTCTTTTTTTTAATCGATTAAGTCTAAGTTTAATTTTAATTATTTTAATTTGGCAGACACCCCTGGAATTTTCCCTGCATATAAAGGACCAAGTCAAAAACCATTACATAATTGTGTAGCCATATATCTGAATGCCCTCTTATGTATGTGATTCTGATATTTAGCAGCTAATAAAGTGTTGCTCTGAAATTCACAAAACCTTTAATTCTTCAGCTGACCACCCTGTCCACAGCTGAAGCAGTGGCAGAGATTTTAATATCACCTTCTTCCTTACTCTTGGCAATGGATTTACATAAGCCAGTTTGTGTCAGCATGCCCCTCTACAAATTTAGCTATTCTGTACTTAACTTATGACATTTGCAAGAGTTGATTGGACGAGTTCCCCACTGAGGCAGCAGAGCAGAGGTGAAGGGGCACTTGAAGTCCTATTTTTTTACAGGTTGGTTCTTCTTCCTTGGACCATATCTGTCTTCTAGGTCTCCTTTTCCCAATACACAAAATTTGGATATTGGCTGAGACAATCCTGCAAAGTTCCTTCTAGCCGTTTTTTGTTTTTTGCTTTTTTTAATCCTAAAAAGCTTAAAATGACTTCTTTCTCTGTGTTTGGCTTCTGTAATTTATAATCTTGGCTCAGTCTTCTCCTTTCATTTATTTCCTCAATATTTCCTTTTGTTTCTCCTAAATATGCTGTCCCTCAAAGAATCATCTGAAGGCCATAGTTTTTTCTTCTGATACCCATGCATCTGAGGGGCTGATGCACTCATCCATCTTTTCTCATAACCTACCTCTTTTAGTTAGGGTTAACTTAGATAACACTTTCTCTTCAGATATCTCTAATTAGATGGCTGCTAGCTCCTCAAAATCCATATAATAAAAAGCATTCTCTTTTTCCTTTTAAATCATTCTGCTATACAAATTCTATACAACCACAGTCCCACACATCCAATGGCCCAATCTTCTGCTAAACATTCATATTTTAATATATTGCTTCTCATATATAGCCACTTATCAAATCTAGAAATTTTCTTACAATGACGTTAACTCAAATACATCTTTTTTTACTAATATTCTTGGCCAGCTCCTAATCACATTGTACCTAGGATATGAAAACTGCCTCCTCACTCCAAACATATTCTCAGTGGTTTGACTGTCGCAGTCCCCTCTTTAGTCCTCCAGTGGATTTCAGATCAATTGTGAATTCTAGACTCCCAGCACTGCAAGCTTCCTGTAGGTTTGCTTGTCTAACTTGTCAGCGCCTAGTGCCACTAAGGCTCACCTTAATCCACAAAGCAAGTCGCTTTTGTCTTCTGGCTTCTTTCCACTGAGAATACACCCTCTCCATCTCTGAACTTTTTCCACATAAGCCTGCATCTATGGAATAATCCCTCATGCACTGAAGAACATCTTTCCTTCATTCAAATGATAACTTAAACCTCACTTATGCCAGAGAGATTTCCAAGATGATTACCAGACAAATGTTAACCCTCTAAAACAAGGTAAGAACCACTCCACCCACCTTTCCACACATTTCAGAAAAAATATTGTATTTTAAATTGTATATTGTAGTTGTTTATAAACAATTGTATTTTAAATTGTATATTGTAGTTGTTTATAAACTGTTTTGATGGCAGAGAAAATATGGTATTTAACACAGTTTGATTATTTATTGTCTTGCAACTTTTAAGTCTTGATTTCAAATTGGTATGAAAAACAAACATTAAAAAAGTCCTTTTTTGTTACTTTAAGATATATAAAGCCATTTAGGTCTCATGCTTTTTGAGAACTGTCAACTGCTATGCACATGATAGGTATCACTAAACACTTGTTGAATTGCATAGAGGAGGAACCATCTTAAACAGTTTACTCACAGAGGAGGAAGGAATCAGAAGACTATTGACATAAATATTCCACAGCAACATCTGAATGTAATAAAAAAATACGAAAATTAGTTTCCCAAATTTCTCTCACTCTCCTGATTGTTTAATATTATATTGATAAAACTGTATCTTTAAAAACAGCTTTGATTTTAAAACACTAAATTTACACACCAAGAATTAGACACTAGCAAAGTCTCACAGTCTGATTTATTTCTCTGTAATATATCTGTCTTGAGAACATCAGCAGGAATACACCAAAGAAATATGTCCCTCACGGGATCAACTATATAAAAAGACAGAACACATCATCAGCACAAAAATCATTATCCATCTAATTTCTCCCATTCTAGATGGCTCCGGTGAGCCCCTCGATCATTACTGACTAGGGTTAAGATAGAGCTTAATGGATTAATTAAGCCAAAGCAGGACTGCATTGCAGACCGAAGAGGAGAAGGTCCTGACAGAGGAGGCAACAACTCTGTTCCTCTTTTATTCAAATGTGCAAGATTTTCCCACCTCCAAGTGCTACACATTTATACTGTAAATAGTCTCCAAAAATAAGATTTGGTGTCTGGGTCTTCCCCTCAGCACTCATCAACACCTAATACTTGGGTGTTAATCAAAATTTATTGTGTAAGAAATTAAACGTTAAAACTTTATTTTTCTTCAGGAACTTGAAGAGTAATTGTTACAGAGGTAAAGCAATAGAGGCAGAGTGCTGGTTTTGGCAATCAAGGAGCACCGACTAAGGGAGAAGTTATTGTTTGAATGTCAGTGTTACTCTGGGAGAGGGCCAAGGACACAGAATATTCACAGAGAGCTGAAAGGAAGAGGTGCCCACAGCCATAATGTCATGGGGGTGAGGGAGGGGCACGCCCAAAGGCAGTTGTCGTAATGGAAACCTTGAGATTTGTTCATTTAAAGGGGATTTTGAAATTCAAATGTAAAAAGGGAACAAGATAATCCAAAAGGCACAATTTGAGGCCTCTTTCTTCCTGTAAAAGGAAGAGAAAATAAAAGAGAGAATCCCCTTTCCCCCAACAGAAAAAGAGAGAATCCTCTTCCCCCCTTCCCTATACCATACTGGCAGTCTACTCTCACTTTTATGAACCAAATCAACATATTAATGACATAAAAACCACTTTCACAATGGGGTCAATCAGACTCTATCAGACACAACATCAAATATGCAGGTATTAAAAGAAAAAAATGCAAACTACCAAGAAACACTCCAGTCCGGAAATGGTAAGGCTGATGGAAGCAGACTATGCCATTAACATCAAGCACACCAGAAAAGCATCTATGGAGCTAGACTGGGAGGGACAGGCCTCATCTGCACTAAAGAGGAAGTGCCCTGAAGGTGCCCAGAAGTGGGGAACTGGGTCGATTTCAGTCTTTTTCTTTTTTTGGGTAGGTGGGGGAATGACAGAAACCAGGCAAGCTCCTCTGGAGGTCTGGCTGTCCCCACCATGTTGAGTCCCAGTGTTAAAGTAATAGAAATGAAAAGACACCTATCTCAGTGGTTTCCCTGAAGAGTTTTAAAAGCAAGTACAAATCCCCAGCCCCCTGGTAGAATCACAAATTATTTCTTTTGTGATTCTTGCATTGGGGAAAAAAACTTGGGCTAAGTTCAAACAATAGGATACCTCTCAAAAAGATATGTGATGTCTCACAAGAGAGAAAGAATAGAATTTGGGAGTGTGAAATGTTTCTTACCTTAGAGATCTTTTAGTCATTTTGTAAATGAGAAAAGTGAGGACTTGCCAATGGCCATAGAGGCTAATTGTGTGGTTGGCAATTCTAGCAGTAATGAATCTACAGGTATATTTTAGGCGCTCAGGGATCCAGTGGATTTCGAGTCTTTCAAGGTATTTTGTTTAAATAATTATACATATATGTATAGACACACAAAAAGGATACAGGGAGGGAGACAGAACTATAGATACAGATGAGTATGTATAAAATACATTGCTGGGTAGTAAAAATAGGACCCTGTGCAGTAGCATTTTCACTATCATGGTCAAGAAGCCATTGACTAGATTCATTTGTTCAGTGAATGAACATTTACTGAACTCTATGTGCAAATATTATAAAAGTAAAAAATGTCACATTAGACATAGTTTGTGCTGTTTCAAAAGAGTTAAAAATATAGTTGTTTTACGTCTACAGTACAACCTCTTAAATAAGTAGTCAAACTAATTCCCATTGGATTAATACAAATCACAATCATTAATTTTGAATCTTCAGAGAAGGCATAAACCTTGCATTATATTTTAGTTTGGCACTGAAAATAATCTGGAATGTTTCTGGCACCCCACATCTGAAGATTGGATTTCAGCTGTCCTGTGCATTTGGGTTTTTTTTCCCTTTAGAATCCATCCTAAATTCAATGTCCTAACAGAGTGGCTCAGAAACAGAGCTCTCTAGGCCTTGCTGCTTTCCTTCTGCCCAGTCTCTGAGAGGGTACTGAGGTCGAAGATGGGGATGAAACCAGGAATAAGGCAGAGAACCTTGCTAAGTCATGCTTCTTTCAGATCCAACACACTTGTAGTTGGCCCCCTGGCCCTCTGTATCCATGGGTTCTATATCTGCAAATTGAAAATATTTGGGAAAAAACCCCTCCAATAAAAAATAATGACACAACAATGAAAAACAACACAAACAGAAAACAATGCAGTATAATAGCTATTTACATAGACTTGACATTGCATTAGGTATTATAAGTAATTTAGAGATGATTTAAAGTACATGGAAGGATGTGTATGGATTACATGCAAGTACTATCCCATTTTATATTAGGGGCTTGAGCATTTGCTGATTTCGATATCTGTGGGGTGGGGTGGGGAAGGGTGGGATGGGGAATCCTGGAACCAAGCCCCTGCTGATTGGATATCAAGGGATGACTGTACTTAATCTCCAAGTCATTTCCCTTACAGTTGTATTTTAGTATATGGTAAAGCACAATGATTTCCTTTGAGATGAACAAAAATTGAGTAGCTAAAACCTAATGAACACAATTAGTTCAAGCAATCTGGTTATGGAGAAAAATCACTAATAGTAATAGCTTAAGACCAAAGAAGTGATCATATTACCCAAGCATTTCTCTTAAAAAGAAGAACGGAGAAAAATAGCATGTGAGTGCCTCCCACATTTCAGTACTACACTAGTTTCTTTACAGAAATCATCTCATTTAATGCTAATAAACATCCTCCAGAGCAGAGATTATGCTTCCATTTCTTCTGGTAAAGAAACTGAGGCCTAGCAAGAGTGTATTTTGACCAGACACACAAAGCTAGAGAATAATTTATGGCACCCATATTTGAATTCCATGTTGTCTATCTACAAAGCCTAAAAGCCTGCTAAAAGAGAAACCCAAAGACGAAACAACAATGAATGCCACTGGCAATCTTTTTAATGAATATCTACTATATGGTGCTAAGTTATGTGCAGAATCAATTCAAATACAAACACACATTTTCTGCCACCTTGATGTTTAAGTATACGAGTATGAGCAAACTAACATTGGATCCACCAAATAGAATATTAGTGTAGAAAATTCATATGACTCATGTATTTCTTAAAAAATTTTAGAAGACCATTTACCTGATGTTGCAAAGTTATCATGCAATTAATGCTAAAAACATACAAAAATACCCCCTTAACTCTTTCAATGCCAGGAAAATATCATGCACTATGCCCACAAAAACCTGGCCTAATTGCCAGTGGATAGGGTTTTATCCTTAAAAATATTTGAAGGTGCGCACATAGTTTGCTTCATTTCAACTCCAGGGTTGGCATTCTCACTGCCTCTACTTACCTTGTTTTCTCTAAAGTGTGGAAAGGAAAACAAGTGAATTTTTCTTTCATATATGAAGGTCTAGATGTGGGGAAAGCTGTTTAAGTGAAAACATGGAGTTTCTCTCCTTGTGGCAAGCTGGAGCATTTGGAGAGTCCCCTCCTCCCTGTGCCCCTTCATCCACACAAACACACATCCAGTTCACGTTCCTCGGCTAGTTTCACAAGGGAAAGGAAAAGAAAAGGAAAAACAGAAAAAGCAGGAAGAAGTATAGAAGAAAAAGAGGGAGGAAACATAGGAAGAGGGTCTAAGGAAGTAGTATAGTTCTCCAGAGTGCTCCAGAAAGTGAGACGATGCAAAGAGTGAGCTTCAAGAGCAAGACACCTCCCAGCTCTCCACGGATGGTTCTCTCCATCAGCTCTAGAACTAAAGCCCTCAGTAGGCAGGATGGTGCTAAAAGAAGAAAAACTCTGGATGGGGATCAGAGACGGATACTGCAGAGCTTTCTAGCCTCTTCTACATTATGTATAAAAACAATTATTCAAGAAATAGTGTAATTTTCCAGAGCATTTTCAAATGTAAGAAAAAGGTGCATTCTAAGATTAAATGTACTATGATGATTAATTATTCATTATGTTAAAGTTATTTATTATTTATAATTATTTTCTGTCTACAACATTATAGTCTTCCACTGACACTTGATAATCAAGAGTTGACAAAATACCATTTGAACTGCTTTGCTAAAGAACAAAAAAGAGGGATTAAGGTGGACAGGAAGTGTCGGCAATAAAAGGCACATGACTGATATCCCAATATTAATGACAAAAATATCTACAGTGAGATCCTAACGTTCTGGGTATTTGTCTAATTTTTCCCACAGCAAGAACCAAGGGTAAAAACATCATTGATGGCTACTGCAGTAGGTCAAATGCTGGGATTCCAAAGATTTGTCCATGTTGGAAATAGCATTCACAGTAGCTTTCCAGTCAAGTGGCACAAAAGAGTGAAAGGGTAGAAAAGAAAACATTGGCACCAAAAATCTCTAGTCATCTTTTACCACCTTGACGTGGGTTAGCTGAAGGCCATGAAGAATAACGAATGTGTAGTTGTCTCTTTCTTATACAGACAGCAGAGAGAGGAGGGGGAAAACCACACACTTCTATTTTGCTAATGTAAAAGTCCCAGTGGAAACATTAGCACTCAAAGACATTAATGTGGATTTGGGACACTCCCTGAAGGATTTTGA